AATTGCTGTGGTCAGTTAAATAGCAAGTGAGATCAGTCTCAATCGTGATGGTCAAATAAATATTATCACAGATTTTCACCACAAAGTTCGCACGTGACTTTACTCACATCACAGATCACGTGCTTCACCAATATCTCATGCCACTCAGCCACAGACGTGACACATAGAGATCAGGTGATAGTCCACATCACATGTTATGGTCCAGATCCGCAGATGATCCGGTCAGACCTGTCTATTCCAGGATACAATAGAGGCACCCATTTGGGAACAAAGGAAACAAGGACTATTGTTACGCATCAGCCTTCCACTTCCTATTAGTTTAGCCAGAAGCCCAGATAGGCACGATGTTCTCACTGAAGAACAAAGGGAAATCAAGATAGGCAGGATGCTCACATGGCAGCCATCGATCTTTCCACTTATTGTTCTACTTACAGATATATCATTGTTCCATGTATGGCCATTAGCTTATACCTGTAGTTAGGTAGCTTAGATAAGATAGCCCACTGTACATGTATATAAGACCAGCATGTAGAGGATGAAACTTCAGATTGTTTCTCCTCATCTACTATCATAGCACCCACTGAGCTTTCCAAGCTCCTGCATATATCTTTCACCCTTCCATATGCTTGCTTCACCAACAAGTAAGTGTTAGGTGCTCAAGCCACATAAGGAATCAGGGGAATCATTTGGGATCAGGGGGATCAGGGTTGCACGTTCCACGTGACCACTCCTTTTTCAGTCTTTTTGATTTCTTGTCCAGCGGTGCTATGACATTAGAAACAATCTGACATTTTCTACACCCCTGCTTAGTGTTTAACACAAGCAGCCACGTATTTTCAGTGCAAGCAGTTTCAGCTGTAGCACGTGGCTTTTTTGACACATATTCCAACTCAACTTCTACCAGGCGTGAGCCTCAGCAAGACACTGAGCAGCCCAAGGCAGCAAAGTGCAAGGCCACCAAGGTAGAAGATTCCTGCACCAGCTACAAATGCCACGAGACCAACAAAGAGCAAGGGAGACTCCTCACTCTAGCATCCCTCGGAGCTTTATCCACAGATCGTCAGAGAGCAGCAGCTCAGGTAGTAGACACCATGCACATCAGAGTCCGAGGCATCATTTGCCGACCTCGCAGTCACATCTCCCCACTCGAACGATACAAGCCCAGGGCTGGACATCTCACCACAGGTGGTCACAAGCCAAAACCACCACCTGAGATTATCACCAGCAATGCCATTCCCTCTGCCATCATAGCCTCACAGCTGGTATGACCACTCCCTAACTTCATCAAAGTTAACACCCACGCTTGACCCATCCGCCCTCTTCCATCCAGAGTCAGACCCACCCTTCACATCGAGACACTCAAGAAGCAGATATCAGCCACCCACTTTAGACTACAGCCGATACTAGGAGCATTCTGAGAAAGAATCAATCGGGATAAAAGGAAGAAGGTACAACTCCTCACATCAGAGTTAGATAAGATCTGCATGGACCTTTACATGAGAACTCATGTCGAGAAACAGGTCATCAACACGTGCTGTCTGGAGATAGGCAGAATTGACTTCAAGGAGATCGGGAGGCAGCAGAAGTTGGACGAGATCATCAGGGAATTGTGCAAAGTCAAGGACAAGAATTATCTAGGCTTTATTTTTACTTAGCTATATATTTACCATGCAATGTCAGAATCTGGTCACGCACAAATGTCCACATTCGCACAGAGAATGTAGGATGTGCTATGATCAAACATCGAAGTAGAGACGCATGAAGGAAGTACACCTCGCACCTCTAGATAACCATCACTGGAGCTCCGTCCTCAGGACTCCGCATCACCACTTGGAGAACCATCATCCCCAACTCCATCACTCCTCCTTGCCTACATTCCTCCCACATGGTCATATAACAGACATGAATATGCGCGTCTCAAAGATGCCATCAGACAGTCAGCATCAGGCGAAGTACCCGACAACATTCGTGAATGGGTCATCATTGTCATGAAGTCAATGGTCGACAATGAACTCAAGAAAATGTATAATGTGCTCAGCGACAAAATGTATGAACACAAAAGAATTCTTGAGGCCTCTATCCAGTCAGCTCAAACAGAGCGACGACTCAAGGAGGCGGTACTCAAGTTCAAGAACGAGAAACTCTTGGACAGGATCAAGGCTCAGGACACACACATGGTCATCCTCAATGATGAAATCACAAGCACTCAGAGAGCCATGTTAGACATGGGGAAGAAAATGATGGAACTAGGCAGCGAGAACACCAAGCTGCATCATGAGTTAGCTTCACTCAAAGCAAGCAGCGTCACAACAATGCAAGGTCACACCTCTGGTCAGGTACAATTGCGCAAACTGCACGTCAAGATAGCCGAACCTCCACACTACTCAGGCAAAGGAAGTCTGGAGGACTGGCTTCAACAACTCAGCATCCGGATGCAGTGGAATGAGATCAATGACAATGAGTGAAAGATTACTATGGCACTACTGCACCTAGAAGGTGGCACATTCACCTACATGTCAGAATATGCTACAAGGACAGCAGCACAGCAGGCACTCGGTACTTGAGAGATTTCATTGACATTCTCAAAGTCAACTACAGGACCCTCGACCCAGACAAGGATGCGCAACAGCACCTGAAGGAGATCTGCACAAAGACCTACCCCACCATGGTCTCCTTCGCAGAAAGGTTCTGTCAATGGGCCACCAAGACCAACTTGGGGCACATCACACTAATCAGTTATATCGCTGAACATAGAGACAAGGATGTACACCAAGCAATGGTGACACAAGACAGCTTAGGTATTGCCGACCTGACCACATAGCCGGAGTATCTCGACCTATGTCTCCAACTCGAATTCAAGTTCAGGGCCGACAAAGCAGGACATCGTGGAACAACGACATCATCATCACCGGCACCAAGAGCCTCGAAGGACCCCAATGCAATGGCTGTGAACCACGTGTCCTAACTCATCAAGGAACAAGAAGGATAGCTAGAAAGGAAGCTCTGTGTATGCTGTGGAAAACACCCCTTCATATTCAAGCAGCAGTGCCCCGATCCCAAGTACAAAGGCAAATTAGAAATGCCAAGGCGGGGACAGGCAATAAGGGCAATATCTACACCAGCAGCATCAAGCAGTTCCGACGATGGCAAGGTGAGAGAAGAAGCAGTCCATGCCTTCCTCGCCAGCTACGACGCAAAAGGAAAGGACAAAGAGGCAGAACTGGAATCAGCTGTCGAAGCAGCTAGGATCATGGAGGTGGAAAATGATGAGGATTTTCTTCAGTGGGTTCTCTGAGGTCTGGCCAGAGTTCCCATAGACAATGTAATAGTACCTACTCGCTCTCGCATGTACCGGTATCAAGTTTTCTTTATATTGCATCAACTGGTTCATCAAAACATGCGATCGATTTACCTGTTCACCTCAAACAGGGAGTAAGGGAAGTTCAGACTAAGGCGCTCCTCGATTCAGGAGCATATTCATGTTACATCAACCCATGGCTGGTTGATCAGTTGAATCTTGCTACAATCTCTCTTGAGAAAGAGATCAGGGTTTATAATGCAGACACATCTCACAACAAGGGTGGAACAATTAAGAAAAGGGTTCTTCTCAGCATAACCATCAGAAATCACACAAGCAGGCAAAGCCTTCTGGTTACCGATATAGGACACAAAGATGTTATACTAGGCATGAGTTTCCTCAAGGAGCACAATCCTGAAGTGGATTGGGGAAAACTCATGATCGAATTCACCTGATGCCCACACAGATGCGCACCCTCACAGATAGCAGTCCAGGAGGAGGACCTGAAAGACACAAACATCCCCAACATCAAAGACTTAATGGAGTTCATTGGTTCCCAGGAGTTAGGTCACAACTGGAATGACATGGACAGCTTCATTAAATGGGTGTCATTATCAGAAGACCCTGATGCACAAGCCGTAGCATCACTCATTATGGGTCTTGACATCAAGAGAAATCAGGATAGAGTGCCACAAAATGGAGAACAGGACAAAGACTACTGGTCGGCCTATGTTCCCAAACACTTTCATGAGTATGGTGATGTGTTCTCCAAGAAGCAGTCAGAAGAAATGCCCACCAGAAAGCCCTATGATCATCCAATCGAACTTGTTTCAGAGGCATCGTTACCACGCCCGACAAAGTTATATCCTATGAACCTATAGGAAAGAAATTCACTCGACATGTGGATAGACCAAGAGTTGGCCAAAAGATACATCAAGAGATCAAAGAGTCCAACAGCAGCACCTGTCTTCTTCATCAAAAAGAAAGACGGATCACTCTACAGGAACCTCAATGCAGTAACAAAGAAGAACAAGTTTCCAATTTCATGCATTTCGGACCTCATCGACAGGCTCTCACAAGCTAGCATATTTACAAAGCTTGATCTGAGGTAGGGATTCAACAACATAAGGATTAGGGAGGGAGACAAAGAAAAAGCCACCTTCATCATGCATCACGGCCTCTTCGAACCCACTGTAATGTACTTCAGTTTCTGCAACACCCCTAGCACCTTCCAAACAATGATGAATACAGTCCTCGAAGACTTGATTCACACTGAAAAGGTGGTAGTCTACTTAGATGACATTCTCATTTTTACGGACAATCTCGAAGAACACCGACGACTAGTAAAAGCAGTTTTACAGCACCTCTGGAACAATGACTTATATGCCAAACTGGAGAAATGCTTCTTTGAACAGTCCTCAATTGAGTATCTTGGCATGATTATCAGCAAGAACTCGGTACAGATGGCCCCTGCTAAAGTCAAAGGCATCCTTGGCTGGCCAGCACCTACTAAGGTCAAACAAGTACAGGCCTTTTTAGGATTCGTGAATTTCTACAGGTGATTTATAAAAGACTTTGCAAAACTCGCACGACCTTTAACGCTTCTCACCTGTAAGGACGTGCCCTGGCAATGGAAGGAAGAGCAGGACCAAGCCTTCAGCGCACTCAAAATGGCGTTCACCTCAGCCCCAATTCTACACTCTCTAACGACAGTGCACCATACCGTCTGAAAACTGATTCTTCAGACTACACAACTGAGGCAGTACTCGAACAGTTGGGAGAAGACAAGCTATGGCATCCAGTCACATACTACTCAAAATTACTCAATGAACATGAGAGAAATTATGAAATTTATGACAAGGAGATGCTTGCGATTATTCAGGCACTAGATGAATACCAGCACTATTTAGAAGGACATCCAGAACCCATTGAGATTTGGTCAGATCATCTCAACCTTACATACTTCTGCCAGGCACAGAAGTTATCCTGGCACCAAGCACGCTGGGCATTATTCCTCACAAGATTCAATTTCATACTTAGTCACTGACCTGGAAAGACAATGCTATGTGCCGATCCTCTGTCCAGGAGGCCAGATCATAAGAGGGGGGTAGACAGCGACAATTCGAACCAAATGCTGTTAAAATCTGAATTTTTCACTATCAATGCGATTCGACCCGCTCACGCATCTGAAGTTGATGATGCTCAACTACTGGAAAGAATCAAGAAGGCACTCACAGACGACACGATGACCAAGGATTATCGTGCACTTTTGACTACAGGACAGCGTGAATTCAGGAAAAACCTCGCAGAATGGAACTTTGAGCACAGACTGCTGCTCCATCGCGGAAAGGTTTATGTCTCCAAAGATCAACAGCTATGCCTTGACCTAATAAAGCTCCATTATGACACATTACCAGCTGGACACCCAGGCAGGTTCAAAACATTGAAGCTCATTACTCGGAAGTATTGGTGGCCAGGAATGTCTGTAATGGTTAAGAAATACGTACAAGGTTGTGACAGTTGTCAACGCAACAAGTACTCAAGAGAAAAACCATACAGACTACTACAACCCAATGATGTACCAGGAGGACCATGGGAGATCGTCACAGTCAATCTCATCACTCAACTTTCTCCAGCCATAGACTTTAGGGGAGAAAAGAAGACGGCAATACTTGTCATCATAGACAGACTCACAAAGCGAGTGCACTTTTATGCAACAGATGACACAGTCACCTCATCCCAAGTTGCTAACATATTCTATAACGAAGTCTTCAAACTCCACAGATTACAGCGCCAGATTATCTCAGACCGAGGTACTCAATTTGCGAGTAAACTATTTTAGGAGTTCTGCCAGAAGCTCAGTATAAGATCTACAATGTCTACAGCATATCATCCCCAAACAGACGGCCAAACAGAAAGGGTTAACCAGATGTTGGAACAGTACTTATGCATGTACTGTAACCACAGACAAAATGACTGGGTCTACTATCTGCCAACAGCAGAATTTTCATACAACAACCAGACCCATGAGTCCATCGCACTTTCCCCATTCTTTGTCGAATATGGCCGACATCCAAAAACGGCACCAGACGTACACAAATCAATATGTTACCCATCATTGGAACATCTATTTGCCCACCGATCTGAGGCACAAGAACAGGCAAAGGCAGCATTGGAAGTTTCAGCTTCACGGATGAAATGGTACTTCAATGAGAAAAAGGGAGAAGTCCCATTCAAAGTTGGAGACCTAGTGTTACTCAAAGGGAAAGATCTCAGAGTAAAAGTCAAATCTGCGAAGCTAGGCACACAAAACTTCACACCTTACAAAGTACTTCAGAAGCTAGGCCCAGTCACATTCAGACTAGAGTTGCTCAAGCAAATGAAGGTCCACCCAGTCTTTCATGCTAGCAAATTAATTATGTATCATCAAGACACGGTCACGAACCATGAACTCCCAAAGCCCCCAGCTATAGAAATCGAAGAAGAACCAGAATTCGAAGTTGAAGAAATCCTAGACTCTAAGGTTGTGAGGGGAAGGGTCCAATACCTCGTCAAATGGAAAGGCTATAACCATTCTGATGATATATGGAAAACCTGAACAAATCTCACCAACACCAATAAGCTTCTTCAAGAATTCCACCAACAACACTCAGATGCACCCAAAGCATCAATCAGGGTTGTCACATTCGGTGGAAAACACTTCGAACTATTCTCATATGAAGTTGCCTCAAAATCCACGCACAGAATCAACATGTCCAACCACCTGGACGAGTTCTTCCTATATCATAAGATGACAGACCTCACCAAATCACCCAAGAAATCCTCAAGTGAGGCAGCTGGATGGGATATTTATGCAGCAGAGACACATGAAATCCCCCCACATTCACGAGCTGTGGTAGGAACAGGAGTCACCATTGATCCTCCTGAACACACCTACACATGAATAGCTCCACAAAGTGGACTGGCTTCTCAAGGAATTGATGTGGGTGCAGGAGTTGTTGACCCAGATTACACTGGAGAACTCAAGGTCATACTGATCAACACAACAGGTTTCATATTTTCGGTCAAGCCAGGAGACAGGATAGCCCAGATAATATTCGAGTATTATGCAGAAGGGCTTTCCTCCAAAAGCTATCAACCATTATGAGCAACAAGATGAGGGAACAAAGGTTTTGGCTCCTCGAGACAATGAGCCTTGAGAGGGGGGTAGTGTCACAGATTTTCATCACAAAGTTTGCACGTGACTTTACTCACGCCACAGATCATGTGCTTCACCAATATCTCATGCCACTCAGCCACAGACGTGATACGTAGAGATCAGGTGATAGTCCACATCACATGTTATGGTCCAGACCTGCGGATGATCCGGTCAGACCTGTCTATTCCAGGATACAATAGAGGCACCTATTTGGGAACAAAGAAAACAAGAACTATTGTTATGCATCAGCCTTCCGCTTCCTATTAGTTTAGCCAGAAGCCCAGATAGGCACGATGTTCTCACCAAAGAACAAAGGAAAATCAAGATATGCACGATGCTCACACGGCAGCCATTGATCTTCCCACTTATTGTTCTACTTATGGATATATCATTGTTCCATGTATGGCCATTAGCTTATACCCATAGTTAGGTAGCTTAGGTAAGATAGCCTGCTGTACATGTATATAAG